TTTTTTGAGAAAACGTTCCTCTGTTTAACAGAGCCCTGGTTGTCCTGAATTTATTTTGTAGACCAGGCTGGCCTTGAATTCACAGATCTGTCTGCCTCTGCCTCCCTGGTGCTGGGATTAAAGATGTGTGCCACTAACAACCTAAGCAGTTTATAGTTTTAACTCCTGCACTAAGGTCTTTGATTCACTTGAAGTTTTTCTATGTGTATGGTGTGAGTTTGTGTGTGTGTGTGTGTGTGTGTGTGTGTGTGTGTGTGTGGTGTGGGAAAGGATACAAGTTCATTCCATAGTTTGTATAGCCTGTAGTTGAGTATTATTAATGTTCTTAAAGCAGGATCCCAGAGGGCCAGGTACCTGATAACTTTTTGAAAATTTGGCTACTTATCTGTTTGGTTTTAACAATTAACATTAATATGATTATACATCAAGCAGTGTTTTGTATTATAATGTTAATCTAGTGTCTTGGCACAATGAATAATACTTTTGGCATAAAATTGAATTTAGGAGGGTTTAGAAATGACTTAAACATTTAAGCATTTGTTTTATAAACATGAAGAACTGAGGTTATATCACTAGCAACCACATAAAATATTCTAGCACTGGGAAGCAGGCAGGTTCCTGGAGCTTACCACATAGTCAGCATATCTGAATCAGTGAGCTCCAGTTTCAGTTTCAAAAAATAAGTTGGAATCCTGAGAGGTGACCCAGTGGCTTAGTTATTTCTGCTTTTGTGCAGGACCCAAGTTCTGTTCCCAGCACTCACAACCACCTGTGACTCCAGGTCTATGGGCTCCAAAGTCATCTTCTGTCTTCTGCAGCTACTTGTGCTCATGTGGCATATGCACACACAGACACAAATATAGAATAAAGATAAAAATAAGGTAGAGACAGAGAGAGAAAACACCCAACATCAGCCTCTGAGTTACACATACGCACACATGCACACACACACCACACTAAAAGTGAATTTAATAAAGCAAATAATTTATTAGCTTTCTATTATGCAGGAAGTTGTGTGTATTTACCAGGAAAAAAAAACAGCAGGATTTTTGTTTTAATGATACCATTTATACTATTTTGACAACAGAATAAGCTGACTTTAAACACATCTTGACAAACTCTGCCAACGTTTGAAAGGAAATTCAATTTTACACCTCTCTGAGCCATCTTTACAGCCCTCCATCTTTTATCTTAAGAGTCCAAAATGTTTAAAATAAAAACACCATGATAATTACCTATTTCCGGATATGGGTGTGAGCCTTATTCACATCAAAATATTTGAAGGAAATAGGTAGAGAATGCGCAGTAGAACTAAGCAAACGAAATAGAAAAGAAAAAAGGATAAAAGTAACAAACTAGAGATGAGTTTGATGAGTAAAAAAGGACATGAATTTCAATGGTGTGAAGAGATGTGAAATAGATGGAGGAATAAACTCAATGAAAAAGGCATGAAATAATAGAAATACACATAGCCAAGAACAATGGTATAGAGATTTTTAGAGATGGATAATGTTAGAGTATGCTTAAATATACCCCCCTTTGCTGCTCAAGATAATAGCAGAAGGTAAGTAGTGAAGGCATTCCTTCCCTGACCTGCTGGTTCTTCCTTTCGCAGGAGTTAGCTACAATTTACCAAGCAGCTGGCCTAGCTTCTATGTCATTAGGATATTTAAAGTTTTGCTACAAGGACTTTTGAACCCACCTGGCTTACTGTGTCAGGGAGGAGGATTAAAAAGTCCCCAGGTGGACCACTAGGGGTCTGGTGGATCAAGGGAATGCCCCCCCCACACACACCTTTTAACAGCTCTTTAGTTTTCAAATTCATGTATCATTCTCACAAGAATGGAGAATCATCTTTGACTGTGTCCCCTCTATCCTCACAGAGACCTGCTTCCATGCTGGATACTCACCTTTGTCTTTTGACAGACTTTGCATGGGCAGAGTGAAACAGAACTTGTGGATACCTTGGCCATTAGCTTACCAACACATTTCCTTTTATGAGTGTTGTTTCTCTGATGTGACATAGCATTATTCTACACTCAAACTCTCTGCAAGGCTTCAGATAGTCATGTGGGTGGAAGCACTACACAGAGGAAAAATTAATCCATACGTGGATTATGTGTATCTGCCTATCAGAATGAAGTATGGTCATGTCTAGCATGAAAGGAATCCAAAGTAGTTACCATGATATGGAGAAGCAGGTTGGTCTCCATGGTAGGTAGAGACATATTAGGAACTCAGTATTGGTCTCTGTTACTGTCATATTAAGAATAGGTGGCAACAGTAAATAGGTTAGCCTATGTAAAGATTAGTTAGCATGGATTGTAAGATATTTTGTTTGTGTTGTTTTATGCTTCTTCAACAGTGGAAAATTTCTGATAGCATTAACCTGCGGTATGAAGATCTAAGTACTATAGAGACACTGATCTAATGTTTTTCTACTGGCTACTGACAAGAAAACAGTGGCATTTGTTACTGAATATAACCTTATATAATAGACACAGTCTATATATAACTGAACTCTGTGCAATTTCTCTTTTAATATACTGGACAATTAGTAACACTGGTTCAAGTTTGGCCCATTAGAGGCATTTTTCCTCTCTACCATTATATATTCACCAACAAATGGCTTGTGGTATACCAATAGTTATTTTTTTTATCTTATACCAGTGTATAATGTTGATCCATCTATAAGCCCAGGGGAGTGCCTCTCCCCAGAAACTGGTCATCATCAGGTATTTATTGCAAGGCTATAAGTGTAATGAGGCAGAAATGGATGAGAGGGGCTACTGGTCCCCTGTTTATAAAGTTAGCTTAAACCTTTGACTCGTGCAGTTCCCCCCATGCATTTCTCTGCAAATATACTCTATTTACTGGAAGAGCTTCCTTATCAACAACCCTTGTCTCTTGGTCCACAGCCAGTATAGAAAGTCTTTTGTCAAGGCCTTTTGTTGGCAGAGCCAATGAACTGGCTTCCGGGTATCCTAGAAACCCTGGAGTGGAGTGAAATTCAGGGCTAAGTGGAAGAGTGAGTCTTCCTTTGTGGCTAGATTGTTCTTCTAGCAGGTTTTTCTTTGGGTGAAAGGAACCAAAGCTGGTCACCACTTGAAAGTTCCCTTCTAGATGTTACTTTATTTGTTTGTTTATATTTATCTATCTGTTTATGAGTTTATTGGGTTTTTTGAGACAGGGTTTCTCTGTGTAGCCCTGGCTGTCCTGGAATTCACTTTGTATACCAGGCTGGCTCCAAACTCAGAGATCCACCTCTGCCTCTCAAGTGTTGGGATTAAAGCTTGTGTCACCGCTGCCCAGCTAGATGTTACTTTTCTTAGGAGGAAATCTGTTTCATTCTTTCATCTACTCCTTCCCACCCTTACTTCTACATTTACAATACTCTAGCAGCCACAAAGCCTCTCTCTGAGAGGGTGTAGCCTTCTGTCTGATGTTTCTTTATGTTTGGCTCTCTCCTTTCTACTGTTCATTCCTTATGTTTCTGTTATGTATAGCTGCAGAGGACCTGTACACACATATGTGGCAGAGCAAGGCAGAATTTGTTCCCGTGGCAGACAGACACAGTTCTGTTTTGCTAAATGAGTTAAGAAAGCACATTTCTCATCCTTACTGCTTGTTACAGCTTTGGGGTACAAACACAGGGATATGCTGGGTGGCTCTGCCATGGTATGTTCCCAGATGGATTTTCCCACAGTCACCATAGTGTTTCCATGATTTAGGTGTCTGCATGTCTTATGAAGGAGATCTTTAAAAAATGTTTTGTTTTGTTTTTTTTCTCTCCATGTGGAGCTCCTGTCCCCTTCAGGTCTTTCTCTCTTTCCTTTCTTTCATAAGATTCCATGCTGGGCACAGGGGTCTTTTCTGAGACTGATAACTCCAGAGATAACCTAGAACCCCTGTACAGATGTAGACCATGGCAGCTTAGTATCCAAGTGGATTCCCTAGTAATGGAAACAGGGACTGTCTCTGACATGAACTCAGGGGCTGCTCTTTGATCACCTCCCCCTGAGGGGGAAACAGCTTTACCAGGCCACAGAGGAAGACAATGCAGCCAGTTCTGATGAGACCTGATTGACTAGGATCAGATGGAAGGAGAGGAGCACCTCCCCTATCAGTGGACTCGGGGAGGGGCATAGATGGAGATGAGGGAAGGAGGGTGGGATTGGGAGGGGACAAGGGAGGGGGCTACAGTTGGGATATAGAGTGAATACACTGTAATTAATAAAAAATTAATTAAAAATGTTTATTTTTCTTTTATGTGCCTGAGTATTTTGCCTGAATGTGCATGTACATGCATCGCATGTGTACAGAAGTTAGAAGAGGGTGTTTAATCTCCTGGAACTAGAGTTACAGACAGTTGAGAGTAACCACTGTGGGTTCTTAGAATTGAACCTGCAATCTCTGCCAAAGGAACAAGTACTCTTAACTGCTGAGCCATTTCTCCATCCCCCTCATGAAGGAGTTTTTATAACCTTGCTCCCACCCTTTGTGTCTAATGCACTTGTTGCATTTAAGTTTTCCGATTTGTAAGCAAGTCTCTGCCTAAGCTCAGAGGTTAGGATTTCTATGCATTTATAGCAGACATAAAATTGTCCAAAACAAATTAGATAAAAAAAATACTTCCAATTAACATTGTTCAAATACTGATAGTTTTGTTTGTCTTTACATGATTGTTATGGCTTTGGATGGATAAAGGTCCTGGTTAATGAAGTAAATGCGTGATTTCACAGCCTTTGACACAAACACACAAAAAATTATTGCCTGAATTTTCCTAATTTTTGTTCTTTCTTTTGCATGCAAAAAAATATTGTGGGGCAAGATCTGAAGCAACAACTATAGAGAAGTGAAGGAAGCAAGTACAGGGTGCATGTGCAAGTTCTGATTTGCTTGTACATATCAGAGATGAAGAAAAGGGTTTCCAGCTGGTTTTCGAAGTGGGGTCAAATAAAGTCCTTCAAAATGAATGACCTTTTCTTTTCTTTATCCAGATTTCTTCCTAGAATACCAACATCTTTTCCATTCAACACTTCCATCATGTACAAAAAGACTGTGTTTGTAGAGTACACGGACCACCTTTTCAACATTGCCAAGCCCAGGCCACCCTGGATGGGTAATGAAAATAATATTGTGAATATTAATTATGATACTAGGCACCTCGTTTCCTTGCAAGGATTCCTAACCTCAGGGCTGCACTTAGAGAGGATGATTACCAAAAGTTTTATTCTTTAACTGCTACTTTAACTGTTTATTTCAGGGAAATAAACTGGCTGTATTTTCTGTCTCCCCTGCTTGGCTTCTACAAGCTTGGTTCTGGATTATTTCCTTTTCTTTCTCTCTTTGATCCTGTTTAAATAGATTAATAATTATAAAAAAAAGAGAGAATACAAGAAAAAGGTTCAGAGGATGTCAGAGTTTGTTGTTAAATGGGACTGAACTTGTTAACATCTAAAACAATTACCATCTGTTAATATTTGAAGATTACTAGAAAAGATTTAGGCTTGATCAAAGTTCAAGAAAGAGAAATCCACAGAGTGCAGATAAAAGCTAGTCATCTTAGAAAAACAAGGGTATTTCATATTTTCATGCCACTGACTCCAGCTCATTCAATAAACCATTTTGGCATCTTATAAAAATATACACAGACTATAATGCTTAATTTTCTCTTAATTTCTGTGTCATGGACTGTCTACTCACTTGTCGTAATCTAAAATCAATCACAGGAATCACCTATGATCTCTCATTACTTTTTCCTCCCTTCTTTCCTCCCATAAGTAAGGTCCTACATATTTTGTTCCCTGTATGACTCTATAATCTTATTTTCTATTATTCTAGTGTTTATCATGTTAATTCAGCCACCTTATTGAACTATACCAAATTTATCCATTCCTCAAGACTTTTGCATCTGTTTTATTTGCTTTTAATGTTGTTCTCCTATATAGCTGAATTAATGATCATATTGAATGACTTGTCAGAAGTACTTTCTCAGAACAACTCTGAGGCTAAACTAGGGTTAGTAGAAAGCATAACTGCTGTTCATTAGTTTCAAAATGGCATGCTTTTCTACTTTGACTTTAACCCTCACTTTTACAATGAGAGCTGTTCTGGTATGCTATCCTTCAAGTAACTTTTGAGGAATATCTCATGTTAACAGGTCTACTGGGTCCTACCATTTGGACTGAGGTTCATGACACTGTGGTCATTACAGTTAAAAACATGGCTTCTCATCCTGTCAGTCTTCATGCTGTTGGTGTTTCCTATTGGAAAGCTTCTGAGGGTAAGTCAAATTCTCTCATATTGCCTTGTCATTCAAGTTATAGAAAGATGAGAATCATGTTCTTGATAATAAGGGCCATGTTACTCCATTTTGGATTACGATAAAATAAAACACTTAGGGGGACATCTTACAAGGTAAGAGGATTATTTAATAAATCATTCTGAGTTCTAAGAGCATAAGCTATGGTGACTGCTTCATTTGTGATCAGAGATGTAAACATCTGAAATGATGAGCCCAAATTAACCTTTCCTTCTAAATGTCTCAATACTATCACATTGGGGCCAAGTCTCCAGAACAGGATACTTTGAGGGGCATTTTTAGACCATAACAATGTCACTCCTGGAATTGTATCCATTCTCTTGGATAGAAGTTTTGAAATTTAATAACACTATCAGCAATAGTTACTTATATGTTCAAGGCCATGTGCTTTCCAGTGGCAAAAATCAGGTCCACAACGAGGCCCATCCAACCCTAAAACTTGTATTCTGAACCACTGTTCTACAGTTCACATATTTGTATAGATAATGTTAGATTTTGTTATATAACTGGAAAGTTCCATCAAGTGAACTGGGGATGGCCGGGTCCAAGGATTCAATGATGCCTTTAGCATCATTCCCCCTCTCAGTATTCCTTCTTTTTCATTTTATTACTGGGCAGACTTCTTTAACATTATGAGAAAGCTAGCCACTGAAAACTCAAGATTTGCTTTGATTTTTACAGAAGGTGATAGTGATAAGAAAATATATTTTCCTGTACTTCTTGATGTTGGAAAATATGGAAGAGCTATATTGGGAAGAGGAACATCAGCCTTATTTAATCTTACTATAAAAAAGTCTTGTGCTACAAGAAAGAGAGTTTCACTAATATAAATTTCTATAAGTAGTTCTCAAGAAAGGCAAAGACTCAAGAAGCAAAGTGATCTTTAATTGAGGGCTCCAACATTCATGGACCCTGATGTTAGTTCTACCATTTGTACCTTAAAGTTATTGGAATGTAAATATTTCAAGATATTTGTATACATTGTATATAAATATTGTATACATTTGTTGTTTCCTGTCAGTGTACTTTTTAATCTGTTTTATTTGGGGTTTTATACTTCTTTCTCCCTTTTCTACCCCAATCCCTTCCTACACTCCAACATCAGGTAGGAGAGAAAGACTGTTAGTGGGGAGATGGCCATAGTTTTCTTAGCTACTTACTGCTGGTTAGGGTCATTGAGTTCCTTGGGGGCAATCTTTGTTTCAGGATATCTCCATCTTCTTTTCAAACTATATCAACACCTACCAGGAGCAGCAGTGAGGAGCAGCAGCCTTCAACTTCTTCTTGTAGCCCTCTTTCTCTCTCTGGGCTCTGGCATTTATTCCCTAGAGCCCTTTTCAGAGCCTGCACCAAGCAAATAGTTTGCTGCTGTGGACAATCTGAATCAACCCAATATCCCACATCTGGGATTAAAACAAACGTGTTTACATAACTGAGTTTTTAAAGACACCAAAAATTCCATTACAGTTTCTCTAGCATATGACATTATAACTAGCATTCAGTCATTGTTCTGTATAAGAACAAAGATGAAGAAAAACACCATTTGCTTTTTCTTCCTAAAATTGTGTTCCTCACTCATTAGAACTACTTTTTCCACAATTTATTCATTATATATCCTTATTGAAGCCCCCTTTCTCAACTCCCCACAGTCCCACCCTTTTCCCCCCTCATCCCCTTCCCCTAGTCCACTGAAAAGGGGAGTTCTCCACTATTGCCATCTGCCCGTAGCTTGTTAAGTCTCCTCAGGACTGCCTGGATCCTCTTCCTCTGTGGCCTGGCAAGGCAGCATCGCCAGGGGCTTGTGATCAAAGAGCAGGCAACTGAGTTCATGACAGAGGCAGCCCCTGCTCCCCTTACTCAGAGATCCACATGGAGACTGAGCTGTCAATCAGCCACATCTGAGCCGGGGATGTAGGTCTTCTCCATGCATGGTCATCAATTGGTGCATCAGTCTCTGCAGGACCCCCTGGGCTCAGATCCTTAGGCTTTGTTGTTCTCCTTGGGGGCTCCTGTCCCCTCCATGTTCCTCTATCCTCATACCCCTCTTCCATAAGACTCCCTGTGCTCTGCCCAAGAACTACTTTTTATGGCAGATGGAGTATAGCTCAGTTATAGAAAACTTTTCTATGTTTTATTCTTAATACTGGCAGTATGGAAGCCCCAACCATTACTAATAAATTTTGTTGGTACATACCTCTAATTTTAGCACTCAGGAGGCTGAACCAAGAGTATCACTATAAATTCTAAGCTAACCCAAGCTATAAAATAAGATCTTATATTTTTAAAAATTGCTGCTTCTAAATATATTTCAAACAGAATGTTCTACCTTTTAGAGTCTGAACCTCCATGGTCACGGTGTTGGTCCAGAGATAAATAGTTGTTGATCTATGTATCTCCTCTTCTTGGCTGCAGTCAACTGGCCTAGAGATGGGTAGCTAAGCTAGGCCAAAGAAAGAAATTCCCTCCTTTAGGACTTTAAAATATCTGAGAAAGAATCTACTATTACCAGATAATCCAGTAACTTTTTGGACAAAGTCATGTTCTTACTCCGTAGATTTCTTATGACACCCCCCTCAATGAGAAACATCCCCTATAATCTTATGTGTTTGAACACTTGATCCCCAATTGGTGAGGATATTTGGTGAAGTGATGGAACTGTTAGGACATAGAGCCTTGCTGGAGGAAATACATCACTGGGAATGGGTTTGGAGAGTTTATGCCCTCACCTCCACCTCTAGTTAGGGCTTTCTACTTCCTTTGTTCAATTGAGATGTGATATCTCAGCTTCCTGCTCCAGATGCGTGTGTCAGCATCTTCCCTGCCAAAATGAACATTTAGCCCACTAGAACCATAAGCCAAAATAAATTCTTCTTTAAATTGCCTTTGTTTGGGCTATTTTATCACACACACACAAATAAGATGTGACTCTTATTGTGTCAGGTTGATAATAAAAGCTAACCAGGACAGGTGGTGTAAGTTAAACATTCAGGCTTACCATAATGTTGCTATTTTTATTCTAATCCCCCGTGTTCTCCCTTGTAGAATAAGACTGAGAGTCCTAAAAATTCTATCATCAGCCTTCTTCTGCTCAGAAAATTTTCTAGGGATCATCAAGTCTCATAATATGGGGATGAAATGGGATTCTCATCTTTCTGTAGAATCTGACTTTTATAAGGAAAAGACTTTTAATGGTCTCTCATCTTGTTTTTCCTGTGCTACTAGCCATTTAGCAGAAGATCAAGATAAGATCATTGACATGTTTGGCAATGGTTCACAGTCCAGCTAGCTTCAGGATGCTAGTTGGCTCCAATATTGTCAAGATAGTCTATAGTACTTGCAAGTAAAGGAAATCATTAATAAATTATTGGAGCACATATTCTATATTATATACCATAAGTTGTCATTCTGAAATGGAAGGGTCCTACCTTGGAATTTTCAGACTAATATGGCCAAATAACAAACAAACTTTCTACTCTTTGTAATTGCCTAATGAAAGAGGTAGAATTTGAGAAGACCCTTTAAAGACAGATGTATTTCTGTGATTCTGAAAGTTTCCCCATATTAGTGTAGAAACTCCCAAGTGCATTAACTTCATGAAAGGAGCCGTCTAGTGGCCAAGAAGAATGAGAAATACCTTTTACTCTGTAAATGTAAACTCTCTGCTACGTAAGTGTAAACCCCGTTTACATTCTTAGCTTGTAGAGGAGCCTGATAAAGTAAATATTTAAGTAAATGAATAAAATTGAAAAAATAGTAGCGTATTTATTATATATCTGGGTGTGTGTGTATCTGAGTTTATGTATGTATTCCATGTGCATATAGGAGCCCACAGAGGTCAGGAGACAGTATTGTATTCCTTGGATCTGGAGTTATTTATAGTAGTAAGCTGCTATGTGGGTGTTGGGAACTGAAGCCAGGTCCTCTGCAAGAACTGTAAGCACACTTATCTGCTGAGCATTCTAGAGCCTCAAGAATGAATTTTTGACACTTTATTATAATATCTATGTCATCCATCAAATAGAGTGTTAGCCCTCTAAATAAAAGCCTGATTTTTAATAACCTCTCTCTCACATCTTAGTGTGGTCAGTACCTATGTATGTAATAAGAATTAATAAAAAGGAAGCCATGAATTTGAAAAAGAGCAAGGAAGGCTATATGAGAGAGTTTGGAGGGAGGAAAGGAGAGGAGGAATGATGTAATTGTATTATCATCTCAAAAAATAAAAGACAGAGATAGGCAGATCTCTGTGAGTTTGAGGCCAGCCTGGTCCACAAAGCAAGTCCAGGACAGCCAAGACTACGCAGAGAAACCCTGTCCAAGAAACCAAAAATAAAATAATAAAATAAAGGAAATGGTTTTAAAGTGTATATCCATGGTATATTTGCTATTAAATTGAGTTAAATTAGGCAAAGGATGCAAGAATGGAAGCAGCATTACTGATTAACAGAATCTGGAGAACACAATTTTCATTACATATGTTAGGATTAGTGTACAAGTACCTTAGTACGATATAAGGTTTCTCCCCATTTATAGCTATTCCTTTTTAATCTTTCAAGTTAAGTTATAGAAAGTGTATTTCTCTCTGTGTGTCTCTGTCTTTCTCTCTTTCTCTCACTGTGTGTGTGTGCTCATTTGGGCACAAGTCTGTATGTACAGGTGCATATGAGTCCTTGTATGTAGTAGCCAGAGGACAATCTTGAATGCTGTTCTTCAGGCATTGCCTACCTAAGTTTCTTTATTTCTTTATTTTTATTTTATTTTTTTGAGATTGGATTTTTTACTGGCCCGGAACTTAGCAAGCAGGCTAGGCTTGCTAGCCAGCAAACCCCGGGGATCCAGCTGGGTCTCCCTCCCCAATTTTGAAATTACAGGCATGTGACACCATGTTTGGCTCCCTCCCCCACATTTTCTATTAGTTCTTTGAAAATTGTATATATTTTATCATATTCACTCCAATTCCCACAATTCTTTCTCAGACCTACCCCTCTTCTATACACATCCACCTCCGTGTCTTTAAAAAAACATAAAGTCAAATTTGTGCTGCTCATATACTCTTGGATATGAGGCCTTTCATTGGAGCGCAGGCAACCTACACCAAGGGTCACGCCCTTTAAGGAAACTAACTCTCCCTTTCCTGATAGCTATCAATTGCTAGTAGCTCCTCAGCTAGGGAATGGAGATTTATGCTCACCTCCCATCTCCATGCTAGGATTTTTTTTTAAATCTGGCTTGAACTTGTGCAGGATTTCTGGCAAGTCATACTCACTGGTACAATAGTAGCACAAATGTAATGGGGGTTTCCAGGTACTTTGTGATTAGATTTAAATCTTCCACAAGATTAAACCTGTATTTGGTACCATTTAGCCTAAGAGCCTTTGGCTAAATAGGTCATAGGCCTTAGGAGAAGAACCCACCACTTTTCTGCTAAATAGACATAGTACTAAGCCTACTCTTAAGACTTATTGATATGCCTATAGGTTAGTGTGTTTCTCAATCCTCATAGAGAAGCTTCTTCTTCTTCTTCTTCTTCTTCTTCTTCTTCTTCTTCTTCTTCTTCTTCTTCTTCTTCTTCTTCTT